CACCGTGGAAATGAAGCTTTGGATCCTGTCAGCCCTTTTTGTGCGCCTTCTCTTACTGCTGAAAACTTTCTCTTCAATAGGACAGCGGGAGGGAAACAAGGGAGGACAATCCCTGTCCAGCATGTCCAACAAAAGCCCCCTGATTGGCTGACTAAATACCCCCCCACAACCCTAGACATTTAACCCAGCTTGGACCCTTCCCCCCACTAAGTTTCTCTCATGAATCAACCCCTTCCTCCACCTTTCCCACCTCCATAAACCATAGACTTCACCCCCCATTCAACCTCTAATTATTGTGGGTCACTGGGGTTTTTTCAGCTCAGTTGCTTTTGCTAAATTTTGTATTTGTTGTCTTTTAAAATTATAAAAAGATGTCATACGTGTAGTTTCTAGAGTAATACTGTGACATCAGCTTATGTAATGCAGATAAAAGCTGCATTGCAAAGCATTTAACATAACTTTACTTTCTATTAAACTAGGTTCTCCAAACTATGTGCATAAATATCGTTTTAACAGTTCTAAGAAATCAAAAATCTTGGGAGATTGAGGTGATTTAAAATCATACAAATCTAAACTATAAGAATAAGAAAAAAAGAAAAAGAAAAAAAACTTTATTGATGTCACAATGGAGAAATTAACTCTGCACTCGCTTTAACTCTTAACTCGCTTTTGGGGAGCAGTGGGCTGCCACTCGGCAGCACTCATGGAAAATCAGGTGTTATGGGTCTTGCTCAGAGACCCAGAGTTGCAGTCTGTGGGAGTGAGTTTCAAACTCACAACCTCAGGATTCCGCTAGCTCCCTCAAAAAGCTTTGGGGAGGTGAATAATACATATATAACTTAATGAGCATGGACTACCTCCAAGATATTAGATACAATGTAATAACTTAATTGCAAGTGATTATAGAGATAGATAGATAGATAGATAGATAGATAGATAGATAGATAGATAGATAGATAGATAGATAGATAGATAGATAGATAGATAGATAGATAGATAGATAGATATTTGGCACCTTATTTTGACTATTGAGCTGACAATGATATAGTATCATCCTTGAAAGTGAAAGTAAACTTAATGGAATGACCTAATTTCTGATTAACGTGACTAAGAACTATTTGACCACTTGGGGGAACAAAGTACAATGGAGCTCTGCTGCCTGTCGAGGCGATTCTTGATGTTAAAAAAAAACAACCCTAAATACTACAAGAAGAAGGTTGCAGTAATAGTAAGATACCCAGTCCTTGCGTCTCCAAAGGCTTTGAAACTTTATGTCCTTTATCACAGAACAGAAACTCATTAAAAGCCACCTACAGACTTGATATTACGCTTAAAAAAACAAATCAGAATAAATAAAAATCTTACACCAATGTTCTTTTTAACATGTTTTGTAGAGATCAACTGAGGCCTTAGGCCGAAGCTTATTATTTACTATCCAATAGGCTAAAGAGCAGCATGGGATCTTGAATCAATTGTCAAAACATCTTAATAATCTAAAAAGAACATATCATTTTGATTTTTAATTCACTGGAAATATTGTATTAAATATAAAATGTTGTATTGGCTATGTGCTATTGTTGTTTTTGTAGGTCAAAAATGGCACAAACTGTATAAGTTAAAATAAGGCTGTCTTCACAAGGCGGATTTGTTGAATCTTTGTCTCCACATGGTTTAAAATAAAATTCCTTTCTTTTTCCAGATGCCAAAGTTGACAAAAAATCAAGACATTACATTTGTTAATGGGCAAATTAGAGCACAGTCTAAGTCTAAAAAACTGTAAATATAGTTGTTAAATAAGATATTTTCTTTTGGAACTGAAATCTAATGATTGCTTATGTCGCTTTAAGTAATTTTTTGTGCAATAATTAGAGTAATGTGTTCTACTGAAAATGACTTTTAAACTAACCAAAACAAATACAAACTTTCCATAGAGCTTCAGCAGGAGCTTGACCAAGAGAAGAGTCTGAACTCTGACATCACTAATCTTCGTGGTCTTCCACTGGGACAGCTGTTTTCTCTCTTCCTCCACTCCATGTGAAGAGTGACAGAGGAACAGAGTGAATGAAGTGCTCAGACATTGTACTGCTGCCCCATTGTGTGTTTTGCATCTGCATAAAAGAGGTGCCACTCGACTTTTCATCCAACCATTGGGTTGGAGAGCAGATCTTTTTTTCTAAGGAAGAAGAATAGCTGCCACAAATGGTTTTAAGACCCTTTATCGCAAGTGAAAGAGGAGCTATAGTTTTTCTTTTCTTCTTTTAGCGCATGGAGAGCTGCCTCAGCCATAACATGCATCCCTGGGTTGTCTACTTAAGAAAACTAAAAGAATCTTTACAACTGTGATAAGAATAATTGCACATATTCAACAACCATATTCTGTAATATATACTCTTATGCACAGAATAGATAAAATAATTAAATACTTCTACTACAGTGATAATAATATGTGTAGCTCCAGTCAACTTTGGTCTTTCTTTGGTTATACTGAAGTCAAAACATACAATAAACCAATGATTAAAAGTAATTTTCTCTCGTTTTATTTGTGCATTTTGCTCATGGTCTGTGACAATAGGGGCTGATTGTCACTTTGTCCTGTTATTATTTTGTTTTATTGTAGTTTTGGTTGTTGTTTCCATAAGCCCCAACTGGAGCCATTTTTTTTTACCAAAAGCGTGTCAATTTGTGCCCACTGGTAAAAAGGTTTGTAAACATCTCAGCCATCAAATGCCTTAAAATGAACTTTACTGTCTAAAGTCTACGGTAATAAAATGTCAATAAATAACTCAAATAAAAAGAAACCAGCATGGGGCGCTGCATGTTTTTTGGTCATGGATAGACAAGCAGTGCATTAATGATTATTGCACTCTATTAGCTTTGTCAGAAAGGAAAAGCAAGTGAAGAACCCAGTCCTTTAACATAAAACAACATTAAACAATCAAGTTGTGTTTTTATAAAACAACATTAAACAATGAAGTTGAGCAAAAACACCTTTAAAAAACATTTTATTCACTACAGGTTTACATTCATGGGTCTGTATTTATTTAGGGCACATAAAACCTCGGCTCATCAAGTCACAAGGATATTTTTCAAGCAGAACAACAAACAGAGTAAGAGAGGACAAACTAACCAAGTAAGCACCTTCATTTTGGCTCCAAATCCCCAACAATGCAAGTTATCCTTCTTTGGTCTGTTTGAACACATATTCCACAGGAATTAACACTTGTGTCTTAAGCAAACATCCATGTTTACATAGACAAGTGTGTCATTCTAAGAGCTTCCTATTGCAGATGTCACAATCTGCCCTGGGGTTTAAACACATTTAGGTAGCTTAAATGAACTTTGGTTTCTCTCAAATAAAATGGAAGTAACCATTTACTCCGGAACATTAGGCACTTGAACAAAGCATATATTTTCATCTGTAAACACACGGGGCTGTACAAAGGTGCGAATCACCTCACTGTACAGTGCAATATAAAAGCATTTTTTACATAATGTGACATTTAAATAAACACTGCATGTTTAGGTAAAGGACTACCGCTATACAATAACATAAAAAATGCTGTGAAGATGAACTTAAACCCTTCAAACCAATCTTATGATTACATTTTAGAGCCAGCCCAAAGCTACACATAAACTTTTCAACTGCTTAGGGCTCTCAGTTGGGCTTGGAAATTGATGGTTTTACTTGCTGTGATAAATGACAAATATTTAAACTAAATCTTCAACAGGATCCCCCCGTATTGTGTAACAGTTTTATATGTAGTGTTTTCCATTATTCTGGTTTTACATTAAGATTTATAGAGAAACATCCTAAACAAGAACCAGAAAAACTTACTAGTTCTTGAGTAAAATTATTTTATTTCACTGAGTATTTTAACAGCATGAACTTTGTAGTGCACCACTAAAACCGAGCACACGCTTGTTGCAAATAAGGAGCTTTGATTTTGCAGCTAACTATATACATATAACTATCATTTGTAGTGAAATTGGGTTGCATTTATGTGATCTCTTCAAATTTCATTGTTAACTCCTCCTCTCTTACTTGTGAATTTGCATGGAATAAACTACAAGTGTGGGGCCAAATTCAGTTCAGCTGAGGGCCTCATAAATCTTTAGGCTGGCCCTGGTGGAAAAAAACTTTGAATGATTTTTCCTCCTCAGATAAATCCAGTGACGTGCGGTGAGGTTCATAGCTGGTGAGGCACTGACGTCATCAGAATCAGATTTGCAAATAGATGCATAGATTGACAGCAGTTTACAGGTTATGTTTCACTTCTGCATCCTTACACATACAAACTGTAGCTCACAAAACACACATTTCCTTAAAAAACAAAACAAAATAAATGTTATTACTGTCTTACCTTTACTTATAAATGAATAGAAGTCCTCCTTATCTTCCTTCAGTTTTAAAAGTCTCTCTGTCTCAATGGAGATCACTGCCAGGGAAGAAAGCCTTCCTTGATCCGTCCTGTTCCTGCCTTATGTTTTCAGTCTCTTGAGCACCCCCTGCCATGAGGCAAGAGAACTGCCTGCCTCACCTCGAACTTGTTCTCTGCCGTTTATAATCGCTCATTACACGAAACACGTTACACAAACACAGTTGGTGACAAAAAGCTCTGTACATTATATACATAAGCCAAATTATTAGAAATAAGTTCACATATTACATTTGTTTAAACCATTTTATTGACGCCGTACAGCAACATGCTCTCTCCGCTTTGCAGCCAGCGCAGAGCCAGGGGTTGCGCAATCCAAGGTGAGGCAGAGCTCGCTGCTGCCTCACCGGCATCGCTTCCAAGCATTTGAATGGGAAAATAAGAAAATTCAGCGATTTTGAACAAATAAAAATCGAAATTGGTGAAGCTACATGAAAAATGAATATTTTTTAGTACAAACCACCGGATGAATATAACAATTTAAATTACTTTATGATTATATATTTTCTTTCTTTCCATGATGGCTGGTGAGGCACTGCCTCACCTGCCTCCCCTGACCGCACGTCACTGGATAAATCCCATGAAAATAACCACTAAGATGATGATTTTAAGATGTGCAGGTTGAGAGCTTCCTGAACTGTCAACATAATAATAATCATCCTGGTAAATATCATCATCATCTGTGTCCTCCATAGTGTCTGAGAATCCGCTTCCTCCATCGCTGGACTCCGAGCACAGAGTCCTCATGCTCAGCTTGATGTATTCGCAGATGTTCCTATCAGAGCCGTCGCAGACGCATGCGTCAAGCTGCAGCGCTTTCGGTATGGAGCGCATGTTGGCGATAACTTTGCGACAGCCCTCCGAACATCTCTGCCCCCCGAAAAGTTTCCTGCATTGGAACAAATAATCCCTCATGGCCGAGCTGCACGCCGGGTCCGTCTCGCACTGCAGCCGGGCTTCGGTGCATCCCATGGCGCGGGTGCGCGGTACGCACGGGTCGATGGCCTGCTGGGTGCTCCTGCACACCAGGTCCATGGCGCAGTCGCAGTCCTCCAGATCCGGGCCGTTTTGGGTCAGATTGAGCTGGATCAGGGATGATATGCAGTGACTGGGGCATATCTTGCGCACGCCGCTAATGACGGGCGCGCAGGCATGGATGTACTGGTCGTACGCGTAACGGCAGTCGGGTTCTCCGTGACACTTGAGGATGGCTTTCCAACACGCGGGGCGATGCTTATGGTTCGGAGATCCACCAGAAAAACCGATGGCTATGATCAACTCGCAGCATATCAACAGTAGAACCCGCTCCATTAATGTAGCACGACTGAATTGATCCAAAGATGTAAAGCTGACTTCATAGCGTCTCCATCATAAAGTCTCCTTGCTCATATTTTCACAGATGGTGGTTTTAAGGCAGCGAGGCGCCGCAGTTAAGTGTATAACTGGCCACCAGGGACTGCCGCGCTATTAAAACCATTTTTGGAAACTTTCAGAAATGAAACTTATCCATTTCAGTCCATTTCCATCGTTTCGCAGCCCGACGTCAGAAAAAAAGGAAAGCCCAATAAAACCAGTCCAGAATACTCACTGTTTCCCCTTAAAAATGTGTGAAGTTTTGGTTTTCCAGAGAGGATCCGATAGCCCACACTAGCTCCAGCCTCCCATCTCTGGATAATGAGGGAGCTGCAGCTATACAGCCTGATTTGGTTTAGCAACAAAGGCTGCTGATTGGTCTGCGGTGAACTGTGACGTAAGCTGCACAAACGTAGTGCTACTGAAATTCTGCCAGCCATGCAACCAGTGGCGGCTGGTGAAAAATATTTTTGGTGGGGCTGATATAGCCTAGTGTATGTCTCCAACTAATCCGGAATAAGAATTCAAATAAACAATTGGACAATACATACAATTTAACAGTAATGATTTAATTTACTATATAATAAGAGTAACAGTGATGATTTGGGTCACTGTGACGGGGTTCTTTGGCCTCCAAGAATCCAGTCTCAGTCGGGTTACCGGTGTTGGTGATTTATTGAGCTCAAAAACTCAAAACAGGGTGCAAAAGAAACTAAACATACAAGATACTCTGGGCCTCAGCCTCCCTCCAGTTACCAGCAATGTAACAAAGAAACAGAAAACAAAAATTGCCACTTTTCTTCCCACAGCCCTCATTAAATAGTTTAAGCCCCTCACATCAGGCTCTCTTATTTCTGATTTCTTCTCATTAATCAGTTTTGTCCATATATTACCTCCACAAACAATTGATGTACAAAAACAAATAATTTTTACAACTTAATTCTTTTACACAGATTCATTGACTTATTCAATTACACCAAACTGGGTTTGAACCCAGCAAAGACGCAGCCAGACTGAAGATGACAAGTCCCCGTAGCATAAACACGTACACATACCCCCCCCCCCCCCCCCCCCCCCCCACACACACACACACGGCTAACCCCACTGAAATATTAAGTGTGCACCCTCAATACGCCAGCAGGTAACCAGGAACAGCTTGTGTGTTTTAAGTTCATGGAGCTACTGGTCTCAGCGCGAGTGTATTGGTCCTCACAAACACAGTATAACAGGAATGTGTGTGTGGCGCGCAAAGTTAGAGAGGTTGTTTTAAGCGACGAGGTGGATTCGTCACAGTCACAATAAACATGACATGAAATGTTCATATCCTACAACAGGGATATTCTTCTGGCAAACGGGTAGATAAATAAGGATCTCACCGAATTTGGTGGAAGCTGCATCTCGGTCGTTACATTCGCCATCTCCCCTCTAACTGTCTGCACCTGCGCTTGGGTTCAGAAGCCTGTTAAAGCGCAGTATTTTCAGCGCCCCAATACCATAAAGTTCCGAGACGCTGATTGGCCATTAAATTCACCTAGCAATAGTACATGATTGACAGATTCTCTGCAAATGTGGGTCAGTCTGATCAGCGCCCCCAGAACAGAGACGGTAGGAGTCTGTCTGTGGAAATCCACAAATTAATGACAGTAGATAGGGAAATGTAGTTTATATAATTTGTTAAAACTGACATTTATGAGTTAATTTCTAAAAATATATTTTACGTTTCTCTCTTCTTATCAGGGAGGGCGGTGCCCCAGCGCCCCCTATGGGCCGGCCGCCACTGCATGCAACAAGCCAAATATATCGTCTTACACTATACTAAAAATGATAGGAAAATGCAACTCTTGGTTATCTTGATTACTCTAATTGCAAAATTCCACATACATGAAACCAAATTTTCCAATTATCCTTTCTTCCCTGTGTTTGAAAATTATTTAAAAAATTACTTCAATTGTATCCAAAGAATCAACAATAAAAAATGTATACACACTGTTAACGTAATCCAGGAAATATTTGGAGAAATGTAACATATCTTGCCCTTTTTTTATTTTATTTTTTATTGTTGTGTTTAAATATCTTCTGTTATTTATTTAAGTTAAAGTATGTTATATCTTAATTTTAATTGTACTCCATCATTGAACACTTATTTTGGAGATACTGTTCTATATCTTGTGATATTTTTTTGTCAATGTTTTGTAATTTGCAACTTTTCAATAAAGTTTTGGATTTAAGAAAAGGACAGAAAGAAAGTCTGCTATGCTGTCTCATCATAAAAATATATAGAAAGAAGAAACTAAACAAAATTGTTATTGTAATTGAAAGAAAGAAAGAAAGAAAGAAAGAAAGAAAGAAAGAAAGAAAGAAAGAAAGAAAGAAAGAAAGAAAGAAAGAAAGAAAGAAAGAAAGAAAGAAAGAAAGAAAGACACCTGAAATTAACAAAAACTGGCGGATCAGTCATATAAACCACCATTAAGGTTAACAGAAGGCATCTTTGACTAGTTTATTTTTTTAGGCTGACAACAGAGCAGCATACAGGCAACAAAACTAGGGCTGGGTAAAAAGATCAATTTATTTTGGATCGATTCCTTTACATTTTTGCAAAATTGATGTCTAGGTAATAAGATCGATTAGTTGTACAGTGACGTACGCATTCAAATGAGCAGGCATGTGCAAATGCCGACCCAAGTAACACTCCGCTCAGCAAGCTGTCCCAACAGAAGTCTAGAACCCACAGGCGTACCTTTCTGAAGGACTGGTGTTGACATGACCTCACCAACTTTTGACTGGTGGGGACAGTCCTCACAAATAATTTCAATACATAGACTTTGGCAATATTTGGGACAAATTTTTAAACTTTATTTAGCTGCTTTTAAAGGAGGATAATCACTAGTGCAGCCAAAAGGAAAAATATCCATCAGTCAATCCACATTTTGGATTGATGGATGGCTGAATGAAACTGAAATTGTGTTTATACTAGGGAGGCATAATATATTGCTGTTTGCATCGGAATCAGCTGTTATTTATCCTTTTTTATATATATATATATACATTGTCTATCTATAAACATAAATGTCAGTGTATTTTGGGTGTTTTGTGTTCTCAACAATAGGAAAGCAATCAATTCAGTAAATATATGTTTGATCTCATTTTTGGAATATTACAAACCCTATTTAAAGCGTTTGTGTGGAGTAACTGTAGGTCCATAAGCCACCACCCTCAGAGTGTCCCCACCAACTTTCAGGGTATACCCAAAATATACCCTTGCAGGAACCATTTTGGATTTAAAACAGCTAAAGATAATGAGCTGGATATGTGACATTAAGGTGACTTCCCATTACACTGATAATAAGTGGCGCCTTGCATCTCGTGCTACAGACCACCAAGACTACTGTACTTCAAGCCGGACAGCTGCAAATAGGGCCAAAAGGTTGACTAAAGACATTATCAAATGGGTGCTGACCAGCAAACACCCTGTAGTCGTTACAGACAATGCTGCAAATATGGTTTGTGCAGTGGAGATAATGCAGCTCATGCATGTCTGCTGTGTCCCCGCTGTGTCACGTCTGCTCGCTCAAGTGAGGCTTCGCTTTTTCACTTTTCGCAAACAAGTTTGCACTTTTGAGACAGTTTTGTTCACATCTCAAGTTTAAATTGTCCAATTTACAAGTTTGCACTTTGTCTTTAATATGACAGGAAAAAATACATGAGTATTTTGAAACACAGTTGAACCACTTTCATAATTGTAAAAACAGACTGAATCAAAATCAAATTGATTCAGGACTTAGGCGAAAATACCCTGCCCTAGACAAAACCATTCAGGAATTTGCAAGACACCTCTCTCTTTCTGACCCTGTCACATCACCATACTATAACTTCAGAGATCCGGCAGCTTTTAGGGGTCTTAGGATTCAAAATACCAATTAGAGGGATTAGAGAGGAGTCAAAACAAAGAGCCGAGGACTTAGCGTTCAAACCCTCCTCTCTTGGCCTCATTCAGCTGGCATTCCTCTCCAACATACTGACTTCAGAATTCATATAAATCATTAAGGTGGAGTTTAGAAAAAGCTTAAATGTTAAAATGCTCCAGTGTTTGTTGTTTACAACATCGTGGCTTCTAATCTGTTCTTTTGAAATGGGAAAATACTTTGTAAAGTTTATTTTTCCTTACAGTTCAGAGTAAACTGTAAAACACAGCCTATGAATACTTATATGTCACTTTTAAAACGATTTATAATGCACAACGCTGCCCAGATCTCATCAGCGTTGGAAGGCAGCCAATAAAGAACAGCTGCCAGATTTAGTGGAGCTGGCAGCTCTAATGGAGCCCTCCCTGTAACTGTACCTCTTAAACTGCTTCTCGCTTACATTCTTTACTTCCACACCAACTATTTTAGATTGCTCCGATTTATGGAAGTATTTTCTACTTTTTAAAGAAATACTTATATCTATGTGGTTGTTCACAGCGAGTTGCATGTTTCTAGAATTGGAATGCGGTTCCCCAGAGTAGATTTGTAAATAGTTATAAAGAGGCAGACATGCTCTTCAGTTTGTCTCCACTGCTGTCAGAAGTCATTATATACAAGCAGCTCTGCCAGAACAATACGCCAAGCTTTGTACTAAACAGGAGAAATGGGCTGAAGGGAAAGAAGCAAGTTAGTTTTCTTTTTTTACTTGGCAAGTGAAACATCTCAAATGTCTGCTTTGTTCTGCCAGTGGAAAGAAATCTGTTTATGGGAATTTTCTAAAAAACAAGAACTTTAACCTTTTGTTCTCTAATACTGGTACAGCAATTATCAGTCAAATGGCTATGAAGCTCACGTGGTATAACCTGGAGAACTGTTTTAAATGACCGATTACAACATGTGCTCAACAGCTTCAGCTGTGAATATCCCTAAAGGATATTCACAAAGAAATTAGTTTAGGTGGATCCGCAAAGTTATTTTGTCTTTTTAGTGTTGTATCTCCCCCTCCTTGAACCGCCACCTTAATGTGGTTGAGGGGTTTCAGTGCCTGGGTGATCCCAGAGGCTATGTTGTCGGGGGCTAAATGCCCCTGGAAGGGTCTTCCAAGGCAAACAGGCTCTGGGTGACAGGTCAGACGAAGAGCGGTTCAAAAACCCTTATGACGAGGACTAAAATGAGGCACGTGACGTTGCCCGGTACGGCGGAGCCGGGACCCCACCCTGGAGCCAGGCCTGGGGTTGGGGTTCGTCGGCAAGCGCCTGGTGGTCGGGTTCTTCCTCGCGGGACCCGGCCGGGCCCAGCCCGAAGGAGCGACGCGAGGCCATCCCCCAGTGGGCCCACCACCTGCAGGGGGAACCATGAGGGACCGGTGCAAAG